GCTATTAATTACGGCCACTTCAACTTTTTTGATTAGTGTTTATACATGTAGTTTTAATATTTTAAGTACCTGTTTTTATATTTAAAAATATAATATTTAAGGAATTTTTAGACAGTATAAAATTTGGTGATGTTATTTAAAAATCATCCTGAAAATCTATGTCTTTCCATTGGATTGTTTTGAGAAATCTGTCATTTTGCTTGGCACATTAGCTAGAATTCTTTTATTTGCCCTTAGGGAGCACTTCTGGTCAACTGTTAGAAAACTTGTGTGTTTGAGCTAAGAGCCCTTTTTACAAAATATGGAAGACCTCAACGACCTTGCATACATGCAGTTATACTATCAACCTTTATTATATTAGAATTTTAATTTTATAACTAATTAGAAGTTAAAATTTGAAAGTTAAAAAATAGGAATTCTTCATCTTTTTTTTTTCTTTTTTCCGGTACCAGGGATCGAACTCATGACCACCTGCTTGCAAGGCAGGTGCTTATGCCGCTGAGCTAAATCCCCAGCCCCCAAAATAGGAATTCTTTTAAAAATAACAATGTGGTGCATGCTACCATCAAAAATAGCATTTTAATTTTTCAAACCAAAACAATAGAAAAGAATGTTAGTTTTACATTTTTGGGAAAAAGTTTAAAATTTCTGCTTAGCAACTGAGTTTCCATATTTATCTTTTAATCTGTGGTGACAGCACGTATCATGTCACCTCAGGAAAGCTATAAGTCTGAGAGAATTAGAGCAAAAAAGGCAAATAGCACCTGAGTCTGAAAATAATTTTGATGGTTTCACCTTTTGAAAGGTCTTTGGCATCTCATGGATCCTTGGATTATAGTTTTAGAAGTGCCATTCTAAAGTTTAAAGCATGCATTTTTAACTTATTACAAGATATGTTTAAATAACATAGGAGTTCAGCTCTAAGACCCTTATAATAATAAATTTCCACCTAAGCCCCCCATCATTTGTGCTATTGTTAACATATAATTTACTTCCATTTTATAAATCCCACAATAAATTTTTGTTTTTACTTTGAGAAATTATCTTTCAGAAGGACTTGAAAGTTGGAAAAATTTCTAAAAAATATGAATTCACATGCTTACCATTTCTGACATTCTTCATTTCTTTGTGTAGATCCAAGTTTCCATCTGGTATAATTTCCTTTTGCCTGAAGAATTTCCTTTAACAATTCTTATATTACAGGTCTGCTGCTGCTGAATTCTTTTGATTTCTGTTTTAAAATACTTCACATTGGGCTGGGGATTTAGCTCAGCGGCATAAGCGCCTGCCTTGAAAGCAGGTAGTCGTGAGTTCGATCCCTGGTCCCGATAAAAATCAAAAAGACAAAAAAAAAAAAAAATACTTCACATTGCCTTTTTGAAGGATATTTTCACTGAATATTGAATTAGGGCACATACTTTCTTCTAGCCCTTTAAGGATCTTACTTAGGGTGGGGTGTGCAGCTCAGGGATAGTGCTTGCCTAGTATGTTTGACCATCAGTACTGAAGGGGAAGTTGTGTTCTGGCTCAGATGACTCTGACAGTAATTCTACACTACTGTTTATCTTTGTGCTTTCTAGTGAAGGTGTCTTATATTAATTTTAAGGTTTTCTTTTTATCACTGGTTTTTACCCATTTGATTTTGATGAGGTGGGCAAGGAGGTAGGAAGCTCTGTGTGTGTGTACGTGTGTGTGTGTGTGTGTGTGTTCATCCCCTTAGAGTTTGTGGAGTTTCTTAGACATAAGTATTATAGTTTTCATCACATTTTGAAAGTAGTCAATCAGTATTTCTTGCAAAATACTTCATCCCTCTCCCCTCTCTGTATGGTGCTCCAAAGACATGATGTTAAACCACAGGTCACTGAGGTGATTTTTCACTTTTTACAGTCAAAAAAATTTGTCTGCTTTAATTTGATTAGACTCGAGTTTACCAATCTTTATTTCTGCAATGTCTAGTCTGCTGTTTATCCCATCTAGTAAAACTCTACAAGTATATATTATAAAAGTATAAAATTGCATGCTTTATCTCTAAAGTTTCACTTGATTCTTCTTTTAATCTTTCGTGTCTGTCTTCCTGGTGTTCGTGAATCAAATATTTGAACATAATTTGGTACTCCCATCATTTCTGCTATTTCTATTGTCTGATTCTCCTTAATTATGAATCATATTTTCCTCCTTCTTGGTATTTTGGCTGAATACTGGGCATTATGATATTACATAGTTGAATATTTGGATAATTCAATGTCTTTGAGACCTGCTTTCAGGCTTTGCTAGAGAGTATGTCTTCAGTATCTTCCCTGTAGGGACAGTTTAACCCTATCCTAAATATGTGACTCTTCTGAGGTCTCCACTAAATGTGCCAAGTCAACGCCACTGACTCTACCACCTGGTTAGTTTCACTGTCCACCATCTGTGAACCCTAGAAATTGTTCCCTTAACAAATCTGCCAGCACTCATTGCCAAAGTTTGTGAAGAATCTGGCACTGTGTGTGTGTTCTATTACTCAGCAAGACTCAAGTGGCTCCCTATGTAGATTTCCGGAGCTCTGCACTGCATTGCTCATTTTGTTGAAGAATTCTGCTTCACAACTTCTAGCAGTGACGACCTCTCCAGATTCGGATAAGTTTCTCAGCTTACAAAGACCGCAAGGCTCTCTTCTGTTTTTATCTGTTTTCCCCCACTGTGATCTGGAAATTGCCTCCAGGCACAATGCCAGGACAATAAGAGGGCTCATATATTTAGTTGTCCCCTCTGGATGAACCCAGTCCAGGGCTGCCTGTTGTCCAATGTGTGACAACTGTCATTTCATATATTGTGTCTAGGTTTTTAGATGGATACAGAGGCTAAGTCTTAGTCTCTCATGGTGAGTCTGTCATGGTGAGGAATATATTTTCAATGTTTTAGATGTATTTTAGGCCATGAAAGCCTTGGTTGTCTTGATCAATACTGAAAACTATATGATAGTGGAACAGTTGGTTGAAACATCATGATGTGATGTTTTTTATACAGTCTTCCTGAATAACTTTCAAAGATGTTGGCTTGAATCAGAGCTCCAGCTGTGGCTGTAAACTGCTGACTCTGTCTGTGAAACTCACTTCCTGTGAAAACTCTACTTTTGTGAATTCTAAATAACTGATTCTATGCTTTAGATTTCAGATCCTAGGCTATATCTCATCACTAATTGAAAACAGATATCAAAAAGCTTTTAAAAACCTCTATGGATTTTTCTCAGTCCAAATGCCTCATCTGAACTTGACTTTTTATATATCAGCCTTGGAAATAGAAGCTTCATGGTTCAGTGTTGGAATGTCTCAAGATGCCAACCTAACAGGCTTAGAATTCCGTGGTTAAAGGACCAAGGGAATCATTGGATTTGGGATCCTTTATTGCAAAGAATTAACCAAAATGAAATAGGTTTTGTCCATACCACTTGAAACTTCTTCATAGGAGAAAACTAGTTTATTTCTAGATTTGATCTGAAGATGGGGTTAGAAATAAGGAAAATGTAAGAATTGAAATTTGCCTTTGAAAAAGTCATACTTATGTTTCAGGAAAAAAAAAAGCAAAGAACTATAAGTGTTTACTAAGATTTTCTTTTGCACTGTCATTCCCCAAGGTTGGGTAGCAGTAGAAAGTATTTGGGGTTTAAGACGGAAGAATACAGAAATAAATGAAGGTTCTAGGGCTATGTGGGTCATTGCCACATGGTCTGAGTGGATTTTGGCTTGGACACAGATCCACAAAGAGATGATTTTGTAGTTTGGATACCAAAGGCTTTAAGAATTAGCTCTTTAATCATTGAATTATTTCTCTCTCTTTTTCTTAGCAGAACATAGAATTAGTTCTGATTTTGTGTTTTCTTTTAAATAGATCCATAGATATTAATCTTTAGACAGTGTGATATTTAGATTATGAAAAGTATGTCATTGTTTGTGGCATCCTTAGTTTTCTGGAATACTAATGAACAAAATTTCTAGACAGTGGAACTAGTCAAAAGGATGGAATAAATGTACGTATCCTAAAAGAAGACAGGTACAAAATATAGATTTAGCTTTAAAAAAACTGAGTTCTAGTATAATATGTACAATTATTAGGGTTAAATTTTTATATGTATCATGGCATTTGGTAGTTGTCTGTGGAACATAATAATATATGTGCATATGTGAATAAGAAAAAGTCTGAGAAATTACAGCTATTATTAAACTGTGAAGAGTCACAGTGGCTACTTTTAAGGGATTTATTTTTAAGAGAGAAGGAATACTCAGCTTTTGCTATATATACTCCTCTAAATTGGTCATTTAAAAAATAACATTCATTAAGTATTTACTATGCAGCCAAACTCTGTGCTATGCATTATAAATACTTTGCATTGTCCTAATCCTTGTATGCCTAGACCAGAATTTGTATTTTAGAGGTGGCAGGTTGCCAAGAAAAGAGACCAAGTACTTGCCCTAATCTGTGTTTGCACACCAGCCACATACTGTTACCCGGATTGTGTGTTTATTTAAGATAACACAGTAGGGGTGACGGAGGGCTGCCAACCAACCCTTTGTTAGTGTGGCTTATAGCAGGTCAAAAAGGAAGTAATATTATTTCCTATTATTTATAGATGAAATAACTTAGGCACAGAGAGTTTAAGTAATTTGCCCTAGGTTACATAGCTAGTAAACAGCAGGACCAAGATATGAATCCCTCTTTGTGAAACTATATTGTTCAGGCTCTTGATTTGAATTTATGACAATAAGACATTATTAACTCTCAATTTTACAAGTTCAAAGATTAAGGTGGCTGTTTTAAAAACATATAACTTTAAAACATTCTGGAGACAGAGGTGGAAAAAATTTTTTGGAATAGATTATCACTAGGAAGTATGGATAACTAGTTGGAACAAACATCTAACTAGTTGAAGAACAGGCAACTAATACTAAGTCACATTATTCTTTTATTTGTGTCATTTGTGTTAATATTGTGTGTGACTATTTTTCCCTTTTTTTAAACAGGAGAGATGAACCGATCGTGTTTGAGCACTATGGAGCCTGTAGGTTCCACTTTAACGTCAACTTATGCCCGCCCCCCACCAACACCGACCAACTTTCTACCAGCCATTGGTACCTTGACATCGAGCTACAGGGATCGCTTTCCCCATTACAATTTAACCCACAGCTTGAGCCTTCCTTGGAAACCAAGCACATACTACAAAGTGGCCTCCAACTTGCCAACGTTGGGTCCATACTGCACCAGAGCCCAGAGGTTGGGCGAGAGTACCATGCTTCCCTTCGTGTCCAACAGAACCACCCTCTTCACAAGGTACACTCCCGATGACTGGTACAGGTCCAATCTAACCAACTACAAAGAGTCCAATACTTCCCGACACAATTCAGAGAGACTCAGAGTGGACACGTCTCGCCTCATTCAAGACAAATATCAACAAACGAGAAAAACCCAGACAGACTCTACCCAAAATTTGGGAGAACGTGTCAATGACATAGGGTTTTGGAAGTCTGAAATCACTCATGAGTTGGATGAGATGATTGGAGAGACGAATGCACTTACAGATATTAAGAAAAGATTAGAGAGGGCTTTAATGGAGACTGAAGCCCCTCTGCAGGTAAACTGGGGAGCTGATGCAAAAAGAATTGCATTTTGATACTGTAGCCCATTGGTTGAATTTCTGAAGCTATATATAGGTAAAATTATGTCTTATTTAACCTGTAGGAGCAATGCCCTATCATCACGTCTGTACTGACTTTAGTTATGCACTTTATAGAGAACAAATACTTTAAGAATTCTGATTGCAAAGAAGATTAAAGACTAAAGACAATTTTAAAGGGAAAAATCTCTCTGTCTGTCTGTCTGTCTGTCTGTCTCTCTCTCTCTCTCTTATTCTTGTGTAAGTTGAACTCAAGGCCCTTCACACTAAACTACATCCCAATTTTTTTCAAATGTATTTTTTAAAACTGTTAAAAGTAGTGGACATTGAACACAAGGGCTTCACACTGAGTTACAACTCTAGCCTTTTAATATTATTTTTCATTTTTGAAACATGGTTTTTTGCTAAGCCTTTAAATTGCCTAATCTTTTTCTATCCTTCCACCTCAGCCTCTAGGATTGGTGGGATTACCGGCCCGCACCTGCATCTTATCTCTTAAAAAGGTTTCTTGGTCTCTTCTGTCTCTAGATTAAGATAACATTTAAGAAAAAATATTATCCCTTCAGTTTGTGTCATGAAATGCAGCTGTGTATATGTTGTGGTTCTGTTTTAGGACACACAGTATCAAAGGGGAGTATTTTAGGAGTGAGTTTTATTAAACAGATAAAGGGGACTGAGGTAATGCTAGTTCCCATGGTAGCAGAGGCGGTATTTTGGTTAGTTACTGACCTCTGACCAGGCTTCTGAGTAGTCCCAAATCATCCTTAACTCTTGAACCACCTGATGGTCCCTGTAACACTGTTCTGCCCTCCGCCACTGAAGACAGCTGTTCCATATTTTAAGATATGCAAGTCATATAAATGATTCCAGAAGAGTTTAGAGAACCAAGGCGCCAGAACACTAGTGGCTGAACTGACCGTGTGTCCCTGCACAGTATCGCTTCTTGTCACAGCCCCTTCCCACCAACCCCAGACTCACACGTGTATACAATCTCGAGGCATGAGAAAAGTTGATAGTGCACTGATGCTATGTTTTTAAACAGGAGCTGTTCAGTGTCAGAAGGCCCCCTATGCTTTCCTGGAACCTCCACTCATTTTGAGGAGTGTTGGTTTATTGTATAATACGCCCAGCACATTCCACACTACCTTCAAGAATTCAGTGTCCTTGAGACAATAGCCCTTTCCCCTCGTGGAGGAGCTTCAGCTTCTTTTGTTAGTCTTCTCAGCGATGGCTGCTTTCTGAGGGATGGCTCTAATTTCAATTTTTTCTACAATTTTTGTTCACACGGTTTTTGTGCTGAAATATTTACTCCCAACACAGGATTGGAAACTTCTGTTTAAATTTAGAGTAAGTCACATCAACAGAAAAAAAAAGAGTTCCAAAGAGAAAATATAGATGATCAACTAATATGAAGAAAAATGTGAAAACTTAACAAAGCAACATCAATAAAATTGATCGGGTAGACTTTGATCGCTCACATTTGCGATAATGAAAATTGCTAACATCTAGAATAGGCAAAAAAGCAAAAATGGATACTTTCATATATTGTTGATGGAACGGTAGATTAATTGAAATTTCCTAAAAAACAATTTAGTAATACATAATGAAGAAATCAGAGTTCCCTTTGACACATTAGTTTCTATTCAAAGGTGTCAATTATACTATCAAAATTTAGAGTCAAAGATACTATTCAATGGGGGGCTGGGAATTTAGCTCAGCGGCATAAGCGCCTGCCTTGCAAGCAGGCAGTCGTGAGTTCGATTCCCGGTACGGATAAAAAGGAAAAAGACAAAAAAAAAAAGATATTATTCAATGATATATCTGGATTATAATTTATATACTCTTACATTTATGCTTTTAAAAAATTTAGCATTGTGTAGTAGCCTTGTGTCTTGATATAACTTTTGAAAAAAGCATTTTAACAGCTACATAATGGTCTTTCGTACATAATTTATTGTAAGCCATCTGAGCCGTTTTCCATTGGCATCATTGATGTTCTCTGTCTCTAGGAATATTTCATGCCTTAGATCTACTATTTAATGTTATCTTGAAAAGCGTAATGTGAAAGTGTAAGAACATTATACCTTTTTGTTAAAGCAAGAAAACAAAACAATGATAGGAATATGGTTGATCATATTTTCTCTATTTTGTCTCACAAGTAGATAAAAGCATACCCTTTTTATAATTGTAAAAATAATAAATGACACTTTAAAAAGAATAATTTTGACTGCACAAATATTCTGATGGCCTGAAAGAAAATCATACATTTATTCCTTATTTTTCTCAGTCGAAACTGTTTGGAATAATAATTTGTTACTAAACTATTTCTCTTGAATAAACTATGCCAAATAATTTTCTCAGGTGTTAATTTGCAGAGATCAAATAGATGCTATTTTTAAATCAAGTTTCCCAATGAGGAATTTTTCCAAGCTATGTTGAAGCATTAACTGTTTATTTTTTAGCTAGCAGCAAAGATATATTTAGTTGTCATGGTCTTTTTCATAATAAATTTCCACAAAATGGTTTGGGAGGTTGGTATTGGGAATACCTATTGACTTATTTCCAAGAAAATTATCAGTCAGTTTATATTTATGCGCTTTATTACTTGTGGTTCTGTAGGTTGCCCGAGAATGTTTATTTCATCGAGAGAAGAGGATGGGAATTGACCTAGTTCATGATGAAGCTGAAAAAGAACTGCTCACGGTAAATATGGGGGAAATGCATTAATAATGCAAATTTTCATTGTAAACATGCATTTAAAGTGTAAAAACAATACCGTAGCATAAACCCATTCACAAATAGAATTAGCATATCATGTTTATAGAGCTTAGCAAAAGTACATTTTTTGACTTTTAATTCATTGGGATTTTGAAATGTATAAAAAATGGAGCAGTATAAAAATCACTTGCAATCCCATTGGGCAGAAATCAGTGTTAATTTTGAATTTTCAGTCATTTTATCAAAGATGTTTGGACAGACACCAACCTGCTTATACAATGACACACCCATCTTCAAGTTCAGACTCCCACTACATTTATGAATTTGGATGGTACTTTATTAATTTAAAATTATAAGGATAAATTTTCTTATCAATATCTTATCTTTTTAACATATAATTTTTAATGGTTTCATAGTATCCCGCAATATAAAAATACTGTCATTAATTATTTAAATCAACCCTCTCATTGAATGGTTAGGTTGTTTCCTTTTTCTATTTTAGTAACACTGTTGCATAAAAATATTACTATGAATACTGTATGTGCTTCTGATAACTTTCTTAAAATATGTATCAAGAAATGTAACTGAGGCATCAAGGGATATATACATTTGGAAAGCTTTTGATATATTCCCAGATGCCCACCCAGAAGCTAACAGCTGTACTCTGTGCTGCTCTGCTGATTCGCCCCCAGATTGTTTGCACCTGTTACATCTCATTAGCTCTAGGTGCTCTAACCTTCACTTTCTGGACTGATCACCATAAGAGCTCTGCTATTTCTTAAGATGTCCTGTCCTGGAGGCCCTTCTCTGTCTCTTTCTGTGATGCATACTTTTTATTAAGCCTTTTTTCTTCATCCCTAATTGCTTTGTCAAGCATTTTAAGAATTTTCCTTAATTAACATGTAATTATACATAGTAATACGATTCAATATGATTTTTCTACACCTGAATGCAGCCTTACTGATCAAACCCAGTCTCCTTTTATCCCCCATCCCTTAGCTCTCTACACATTTCCCAATCTGTTTCACCCTTTGTACCCACACCATGGCTTGGGTTATACCTATTGTCTCCTTGACTCTTTAATCAGTTTCCAGTGCATCTTTCTAGCCAGAAATACTCCAACACTTTCCCTTTTGTAAATTTCACTGGAATCAATAATATACATTACTACTGGTTTCTTTCTTCAGCTAAAATCTGTTCCTTGGTTCTTCAGAAGAAAATTATCAGACTTTCCTTTGCCTGGCTACCACCTAAATTCTCAGCCCTCTTTCCCTCTCTGAACCACAACATTTCTACTGTGACAAATCCTTCTTCTCTGTCACTGAATCAGCATCACATGGTCTCACCTCTTTGGCTTTGTTTGATTGGTTCTTGGTAAGAAATAAGTCCTTGGCAAGGAAGTCAGTATGATCTAGCAACCCGATCATCACATGTCATCAGTACTTCTGTTTTACAATGTCCCTTTTGGGCACTCCATTGTTTTAAGAATGATGTTAAAGTTTTTTCTTTGCTATTTCCTTTCCTCTACTATGTGGTTCTCTGGGAAATCTAAATTGAAATAATACACTCAAGAAATCTTTGGCCACTAACTGAGACTGTGCATTCTACTCTGTAAAAGTTATGGTCTCTGTTGCAGACATGATTTGAATAGGAAATCCTGAATGCAATAGCTTCACAGTCAGTGATGGGTCTGTGCTCTGCTGTTTCTTCTTTCTAAGCTTTTGGTGAATCTTGTAAATCTTAAGACAATCTTTTGTTTACTTTGTTATCTAAATGGCGAAGAATTTACACATTTGTTCCCTGGTGTTGTTACTGTTCCTGAGATGTGCCACCAGGAGTAAACTGTAGGCTAGTTCTAACAGTTTAAGTTTTCCCACAAATACACTACGATTTTCCTAACAGTGGTTTTGCAACTTGGATGCCTTTGGTATTTCTGTTATTCTAGAGTGGCCCTCAAAGCTGCCCGCACATTGCAATCACCTTGAAAACATCAGTGACTGGGATTCTGATTCAAATCAGGAATGAGGACCAGGCATTTCTTTGGTAATCTTAATAAACCACCAGATTTAAAAACATTGGCTCCAAAAATAGGACGTATTGGGGAAGGAAATTAAAAATGAAGCTAATGAAATGGACATAGCATGTTTACAAATTAGAAGACTTAATTGTATTAAAATGACAGTACTTCCCAAACTGATCCATAGATCAGTTTATTTTAATATGCTAGTTTAATATGATTTCTGTCAAAATTCCAGCTGACTTCCAAATGGAAATTGATAAATGGATTCCAAAACTCGCATGGCAATCCAAAGATACAAAATAGCCAAAAGATACAGGAAAAAAAAAAAGAGAAGACTTACACTTCTCAATTTCAAAACTTACTGAAAAGCTATAGTAATATAGTACTCGCATGTATATAGACAGATCAATGGAATAGAGCTTAAATGTTAAGAAACAAACCCTCTCTGTTACCATCAATTGGTCTTTGACAAGTGTATTGAGATAATTCAATGAGAAAAGAATGAACTCTTTAACAAATGGTACTTGGACAACTGGATACCCTTGATTGAAAGAATGAAGTTGGATCCCTCCATCAATACATATGAAAATTAGGTCAAAATGGATAAAATATCTAAGTGAAAGATAAATGGAAAAATTTTTTAAAAACATGCATAAATGTTAATGACATTGGACTAGGTGGTAATTTCTTTGATATGACTATAAAGAAACAAGCAACAAAATAAAATATAGATTAAATTGAACATCATTGAAACTGAAAGTTTGGTACTTCAAAGAACATTATCAATAAAGTGAAAATAAGATCTTTACAGATTGTATATCTGGCAAGAGACTTACATAGAGAATTTATAAATATTATTGTCTTTAGAACAAGACAACCCAATTTAAAAATTAGCAAAAGGTAGGAATAGAAGAAAGTCAAGGAGGTTATACAAAAGACCAGTAAGCACTTGAAAAAATGTTCAGCATCATTAATCATCAGGGCAGTATAAATTGATATTGTAATGAAATCTGATGTCATACTCTCTAAGATGCCTATAACAAAAACCACATAAAATATCAAGAGAATGTGGAAGAATTAGAACCTTCACACACTGCTGGTGGGATATAAAACGGTGCAGCTGCTTTGGAATATTGTTTAATATATGGCTACTATATGATCCAGTAATTCTACTTCTAAGACTCTACAAAAGGAAAAATGAAAACAATATTCCAAAGACTTGTAGGAGAATATTTATAGCAACATTTTCATAATACTCAAATAGTGAAAACGACCTAAATATTTATCAACTCATCAATTGGATCAAATGGATAAATTTAATATAGACATATACAATAGAATTTATTCAGCCATAAGAAGGGGTGAAGTAATGGCACATGAATGAATCTTGAATACTCTGGTAATTGACAGAGGTCACAAAGGACCACTTATGGAGACTCCTACAATAGAATTTTTTTTTTTTTGTCTTTTTCCTTTTTATCGGTACCGGGGACCGAACTCACGACTGCCTGCTTGCAAGGCAGGAGCTTATGCTGCTGAGCTAAATCCCCAGCCCCTTCAATAGAAATTTTATAGAGACTGAAAGTAGGTTAGTGGTTCCTTGGAGAAGGAGGATTAGGTTATTGGAAATTTGGGGCAATAACTAAAAAGTGCTTGTTTCTAGGGGAAAGTAGTGAAAATGGTCTAAATTTGGTTTTAGCAATAACTGTAAGAACTTTGAATATTCTAACATTGAACTGTATACTTTAGTTAGGTGAATTATATAATATGTGAATTATATCTCAATAAAGGTATTACTTCAAAATGAAAGACATTGATTTTGGAGGGTTATATTTTTCCAGGTTAGTAGCATATCTTGCTTTATCATGCAAACATTGAATCTCAAATTAGGGTAGTAGTTCATAAATTGATGCCTTGGTCAGTGCCAATTCAAGTAATAAGTGTGTCCTGTCACTTATTCAAGGTAATAATATTAACATATAATTTTATTATCTTACAGAAATGAGTTTCAATTTTTAAAGCAGCTAACTGACTGTTAGCAAAGAAAAATGTAGCCTTGAAAGGAGGCTAACTTTTGCAAAACAGGAGCACAGGAAAATATTTTCTCATAACTCTGCTGAGTCTTACATTCAATCAATGAGCATACCTACTTGAAAAGTGCAAAATCTGAAACACTCCGCAGTTTTGAGCACTAACGTGGCACCCCAAGTGGAATATTCCATGCCTTGGCCTATGGGAGAGACAGATTGCAAGGAAAATGCAGTCATATGACACAAACCTATATAAAATTACCATGAGTTTATGTACATAAGATGTATTGGGAACACAAATGAATTTGTGTTTAGGCTGAAGTCCCATCTACAAGACATTTTATTGTGCATTTGCAAATATTCCAAACTCTATAAAAGTCTAAAATCTAGTCCAAAGCATTTCAGAAGAGGGATAAGCAATCTGTATTCAGCTTACAGACAGCTTCTTCTGAGGGTCAGCCATGGCCTCAGCTTCTCATTTTTATGGCCCTCCTGGACTGTGCTACCTCTTTGACCTCGGAAGCCAGTGGAACTGCAGAGTCATCTCACCGTCATTTTCCTGCTCTTGCTCTGGGGTGCAGGCTGGGCCTGCTGCTCAGAGCTCAGAGCTCAGGCTGAGGCTCTGGGCCTCGCCCCAGCTGGCCAGTTTCCTTACCACAAGTGGCTTTCCCCTCCTTCGTGTTGTGGAAGGAGAAAACAAAAACACCACAGCCACAGAGGTTATTGAGAATGTGCAAACAATCAGTTCCAGACATTGAGACATTTCAGCAAAATCCACCCAGGAGGGCTCTGCACTGACCGAAGATTGAACAGATAGAGATCCCTGACCCCTGCTCCCTGACCCCTGCACGGGAAGAATGTTTGGGTGGGCTCTGACCATCAGTAACTTTCCTCTTCGCATAGGTTTCTGTCTGTAAATGAGTCCTGGGACCAGTGGCTTCTCACAACAAGCCATGTTGCAAAGGCAAGCTAGTCAGTCATCTTTGCAGACTCAGGAGCAAATGGGAATGGAAATCACTAGTGAAAGGAAATGCCTCTTCCTACTAAATTCACAGTGAGAATATGTGAATATTTGATGATCATTTCATCATTAAATAGCCTTATATATATAAACAGCACCTGCTTTTATCTGTGAGTTTTCCTTGAGCTAGACTCAACTGGACTTGAACTTTGATTTTTAAGATTGTAAGTGGACTTCCCTGTCCCACTAGTTATACTAGTACCCACTTCTCTCAAATTTAAACATGTGCCAGTTAATGTGGATAAATAGAACCACAAATTTAGTTTCAACTTGCTGGGAACAGGGCTTAGGCTTAACAAGGACATCCAAGAAATGAGTTTGTTTTTGGTTTTGGGCCTCACTATGTAGTCGAGGTTGGCCTCAGACTCACAGTCCATCAGTTTGAGTCTCTGGAACACTAATACTACAAGTGTGCACCACCACCCCTAGCAAAAAATGATTTTATATTCAGAATTCAGGGTGTATCCTGGAGCCAGGACCTCTCTATATTTGTAGCCAGAACTCAGTGTTCTTGTAATGTGGCCTGTATTCCTCAGCTAAAAGCACAGCCCACATCTAACAAGATGAAGATCTAACATCAGGCAAATCTCTTCTGTTGCGACATAAGTGCTAACCCTACTGAATACTTACATCAACCAGGCACATATTTATCTACCCAAATGCCATGGCAAGGTGAATATTGCCTTTAGTTTTTAACCTGTCTTTGGTCACAGTTTAACAGATGGCAAAGCCAGCATTTGAGCAGTGGTATCAGCATTTGAGCATTGAAGCATATATGTTTAATAACTATTCTACCCAAAATCAGGGAATGTGATGTCCTAAAGGGTTTTTACTTGACACATGAAGGGTTTAGTCTCTATTCTGCCTCTCTATCCCACTGTCTTAAGAACACAGGTGATGCATTGTAGCAAGAGATGCTTTATAAATGTTCCACCTGCTCAAACAGTAGGATTAATCTAAGCTCTTCCAACTCCTTGGTGTGATTTCTTGTTACATTTCCTTTGGAAGACCTGCAAATGAGATCCTGCTTTTATTACTTAGAATACTGGGAGTCTAAGAACCCCAGAGAGGTTACCATGATCATGCAATCCATGAAGTCTATGATTCTTCATCGGGTCAGGATCCAGAGGTATTACACTGCTTTTCAGGCTCCTAAATGCATGGTTCCTAAAAGTGGCACTCTGCCAGAATCTTAGCTACCGTAGACATGAGGCTACGATCACAGGTCTAGTGGGGTTCAAACTCTCCCTATGCTTCTGGTTTCTGTGTGCATCCAGTATTTTTCTATAAATATTCCTGGGAGCAGATGAGGGGATGTTTTTCACTTCTCTTAATTTCAATTTGGCATTTCAAAGCTACTTTCAGGCATGAGCACAGATGAACAAGTCAACAGAGCTCCATACTAAAGTACATAGCTTTAGGCTTTCATTCCCTCTGCCTCCACTCATCATATTTAAAATTACTGTTTAACAATTTTTATAAAAACTCATTTAATGCATTTTCTCCTACTAGAAGTCCTAGGAGCTGCCAGTACGTGCATTGTATATTAAAACATACTATATAATATAGAACAGTAGGATTTGGTCAGTGTTTGCACAGTAGGATTTTAAGCAGTGTTTTCTAAGTAAGACTCTATGCACTCTTTGCCAACATCTCACCAACACACCCACATCCACACCCACACACACTATCATTGAAATAGTTGAGAAATAAGCCATACAAACAAAATAGCAACCCCCTAACATTGTTGCATAACTCACGGTGCAAGAAATCTTTGTAAGATCAGGGGGTTATTTTGGTAGGACATGTGAGAGAAGATTGAATCCTTGTTTCATCTCATTGATTGAGTAGCTAAAAATCAGTGAGGTTATCGTTCTAAGTATCTTAAATATTTCCTGTTAAACAAGAAGAAAACCACTATGTAAATGGAGGATAATTCTAAAGCAAATCAAATAACAAAGATAGAAACCAAAGAGGGATACTTAAAGTCATACAGATGGCAAATGTCTACATCAAAAACGTCATTTACAACCTGTAGGCAAGGGCCAAACTTATAGAAAGGCAAATAATATATATTATGGGAAAAGATTTCATTTCAAACAATAGGAATCTTTGTCATTAATAAGAAAAAAACAGAAAAAAATGGATACTCTGTTAAGTAGGCAGTTCACAAAGGAAGTTCAGGTGATGAACAAATATATGCTTGTATTAGATTGTAAATTCAGGCAAGTTGGCTAGTCTTCTGGGAAGGATTCCCATCATACTGGCAAAAATTTAGAGGCATGATAATGGCTATTTGGCTACAAAAGAAAAAAAGCCATACTGTATGATAGACAGAACTTTTCTAAGGGGCAATTTGGGTGTACTTATCAAAACCTTGGAAAGAGATATATGTTGGTGCTGTTTATATATTTATTACATTGTCCACATTATTGTTTAACATCGTGAAAAAAATGTTCAAGTTTACAATGCCCCAAAGCTATATATAGGGTTTGATCATGTTTTGTATGAGAAAGCACTAAGAATGATTATGTATACTTTTAAAGAGCATCTTATTGGTGCTATTTTAAGACCATAATTTTCCAATGTGAATATTAATTTCAGAGGGAAATAAATGTTTAAAGTTCCTGGAGGAACACATGCTATGGAATAATCCATGCATCCTCGCACATCCAAACACCATGGGTGTGGTCAAGTGAGGAACCTGGTGCATGCTCTGATGCACATGTAGGAGCTTGGCTGTGGGGCACAGACAGGACTGTGTTTGGACCAAGGAGCCCAGCCAGTGGGGGTCTATGCACTGGCAGAGGGGGCTTCATCTAACTGCCCTCTTTACCTGCATAATTTACTTTGCCATTATAGCTACATAATAGGTGGGTTTTAAAAAAATAATAGCTGTTGTAGAAGAATAACTTCTGTAGAAGAAGGCCTGTGTTTGAATCCAAACTTATTTGTTAACATAATTTTGATAACTTCTTGTTGTTTTAATTAAGGACAAAAATAAAAAGAAAATTAAATCCTAAAATTTTAACCAAGTCCCAACCTGTGCTATCATGCAATATAATTTCCCTGTGGCTCTGTAACAAATGAATGGGACAGATCAATAATAAGTGAATTTAATATGTTTTTTTGCTTAATATTACTAGTTTTCAAGACATAAAGTTTGCCTCATGGGCAAATTGTTACATTTCTGACTTTGGATGTTATGCTCCATAATGAAAATATTAATGTGTGTTTTACTTTTCAATTAAGTAGGAAATTGATGTTATTCTGTGTTGTCAAGAAAGAATGAAGCTACATTTGGATAAAGCTATTGCCCAACTTGCGTAAGAAATTTACATCTCTATACAATATTATATAATTTTATCTCTATATTGAAGTTCACTTTCATGCCTCAAATTTAATTTTCTCTTAGTCTCTTCCAAGTATACATGCACACAAGAGAGGCACACACATGTGTACTTTTATATAGATATTAAGGTGAGTGCTAGAGATGTTCGCTTTAAATTTTTTATTTAAAGAAGTAACTTTGAGGTGTTATATAAAGGACTTCTGCCCTCAGTTGGAATATATAAGATTTCTCCTAATGCAAAAGCTTCAGTTCTTTGATGACAAGTTGACTTGAATATGGTCAACTCTAGCGATTGGAAATGTAATGAGTTATGTATGGGTCACCCATGTTTATTTTCCACCCCTCCTTAGAGCTCCATCACCTCTGACTACCCCGTCACTAAGTTCACTACCTCCCATTATGTTGTAATGGTTTTCGTAGCCAATGCCCCACCAGAATACAAGTTCCTGCAAGTCATTGATTCTCTTTCTTGGCAATAGTAGGTACTTAATATTCAGGGGAGGGCTGGGAGGAGAATGGGAGAGGTAAAGAATAATAAAGTGATATCAGCATAGAAAATAAAGTGATGTAAGTATAGAAAATAAAGTGATGTCAGTATAGAAGAGTATGGGCGGAGCCTATTACCTTACATGGCTAGAAAGATCATAGTTGGCTATGGCCATAGAAAGAAGTAGCATTGGATTGCTACTTCCAATAAGAGTTGTGCTTATCCTAACGTTATCAGAGGTTACAAATGATACCCTCAGAGGAATGAATGTCACAATAGCACTCACTCAGTTGTGCACTTTGTGCATCAATCCTGGAAAGACTGGTGAAGTATATATGCAGGGATTCTCTTGAGATATAATTGGAAGGATTCATTCACAAATTGATGAGAAGGGGGCACAAGATTATTGAAGCTGACCAACATAGTTTGGTTAACTGTACAGTTTCCAAGGCATTGCATTTCTGATATTAATTTTTGATTTCTCATCCCTAAGAATTGCTGAAACACAGTTTAGTGTGGCTTAAGGAATCATTTTGGTTGTTTTCTTCTCATTCGCATTTTTTTTTCCATAATCTAAAATCTGCTCACATCTTTTGCATTCTTGGCTGTTTGTGACTTAGATCCTTGAGTACTAGAATCGTAGCTACATCTGTCTAGATATCCTCATTAGAAATCGCTCCCTGCTAACTGTATCATGGCTTTTGTAGGAGATTCTGCCTATGTGTGTGCACTTGTTTGGAATCTTTGTTGGTGATGCTTTGATGAGCTTAGCTTTCCTTTAATATGCAGTAGGCAAAATCTTCACCTCACGTCCTGGGATGGCCTCTCTTCTGTGCTCTTCTAATAATGTAGATGGAAAGAGAGTTTTCTATTTCACTTGTTTTGGAAGGAACCATGAATCCCTTAACTGATAAAACATCAAGCCAATATGGTAGCTAAGATTCTTTCTGTCTTGGGCTATATCTTGATGGAGAGTTGCTTCAAGTGCCTTCTCAAAGAGATTTTGAGTCCAGGTCAGAAGAGATCCAGGAAACCCTTCCTTTTCAGGGATGTCAGCCCAAGAGAGAAAGCTTAAGCGACAACTTGATACCGCACTAAAAAAGACCAAAGTCAAGAAACAATGCAGAAATAGAAAGGGCAGGCAATACCTCCATTTTTCACCCGTCTTACATGTGTGCTTTTAGAGTTCACAAAAAGAAGATGCCTTACCTGCTGCTACCTTCATTTTCACTTTTCAAAGAAGAAACTTTAGCTCTGATGGGTTGGGTAATTTCTCTGAAGGCACAGGCCAAGTTGAAGGGAATCTGCAGCTAGAATCAGTTGTTCAACACAACAGTCTTTACTGAGTGGCTCTTGTATATTTTGACTGTTTTAAAGTGCTGGGAACAAGGAAATGACTATGATATCTTAGTGATCCTGCTTTTCAAGGACTGTCTGTATGCTAGTGATGTCTAACGTTTTGTTTCTAGCCTTCTCTGCCCAGTTCCAGCAACCTACTGGGCATCTCCATGTGAATGTTCAGTGCACACTCAAGCTTAGTATGTCGACTTGATTTGCCTTCTCTTGCATTGCCCTGAGCTGACAGGAGGAATTATTCTGATGACTCAATTTAAGCTCTTTCTTTCTGAATGAAGTCCAGTTTCATAGCAGATTGTCTTTTATCATTTAAATGCAGCTGGTATCTCTACCTTCTTCATGGTTGTATCCTTGGTCCAAATCGCCATGATATCTCACTGTAATCTCCCAGGGAGTCTCCCAGGATCCCTTTCAAGTCTGTTTTCAGCCTGGCACCAGAATGACCCACTTAAATCGGTGCTCTTCAATTTAATTAGAGGAAAATGTGACTCTTGCCAGGGTCCAGTCTGTATGATCTGAGTCTCCCTTTTTAGTGTTTTCCCAGTGTCACCTGGGAAGACCCTGCTGTCTTGTTTAAAATCATAATTTTTTCTTTTTGGCCTCTTTTTTCTTGCTGTTTTGTTTTCATTGTTCTAACCACACAAATTCCAATTCACTGAATCAGTCTCCTGTCAGTGGAAGGCGAGTCTCTTACAGATGTCTGCTTCATTTATGGATGCATCCCGGCTTACGGAACAATGCTTGGCAAGTAGTAGGCACTCAGTCATTCTTTGCTAAATGAACTATCCCATGAACAAAGAGGTAGTTCACCTGCCACTCACACCTGTCCCTTTCTCTGAGCCTGTATCTTTGAGAGTAAATTGTTCCATGTGGAAGACCATGCAAGCTATAGCTCACCAAGGTCTCTTCCTTCCCAGCCATAAGGCTTCTGGAACACAGAGCTTGGATGAGACATAATTCATCATCTTTTTTCAAGAAATCCTTGCTTGTACCCTGGCAGTTAGTTTCAACTCTGGGTTTTATATTTCCTAGCAAACTTCTTAACTGTAACATGACCACACACTGGTCATGGCTGGACAGAGAGAGGCTTCACTCTAAATGCTTCATCGTTTCTTGAGAAATTGTACTTAGAGAATAGAGGGGAAGGGGGTGAGGATTTAGAAATGGAAAAAGGAGGAAAAGAAGGCACAAAGATGGACAGGCTACTGTACACCGGTGTCCAGTCTGGAACTGCTGGTGTGTAAGGAAGATACACATTGTTTACGTACATTGCTTCTCCTTATTCCTATCCTACTCCTGGGTTAGGGAGTGTGCACAGGGCAGGAGTAGGGCTCTCATGAGGTGTGCACACAGCTCTCCAGAGAATGCTCTGCTGATTGGGACACTGAGTGTCATGTGAAGGGGGAGAGACCGAGAGAACAGGGATGGGGGCATAGAAGGACAATCCTGCTTTCTTGTGGGAAATTATTGCCTGAATGCAAAGCCTCATTTCTCCGTTCTGTGTTATAGCTCCAATAGAGCCGCCCAGCATGAGCTAGAGAAGGACCTAAGTGATAAACAGGCAGCTTACCGGATCGATGACAAATGCCACCACCTGCGCAACACATCTGATGGCATCAGCTACTTCCGTGGAGTGGAGAGGGTTGATGCGACGTAAGTCACACGCAGGCCACTTCTGTGATTTTTATGCCTTTCATTCATACTCTGTCCTTTCAAAATGATGTCCCTTATGGAGTGTCTTAGTTCATTTTCTGTGGTGTAATAGAATACCCCAAATGGGTGACTTATAAAGCATAGAGGTCTATTTGACTCACAGTCCTGGAGGTTGTGAAGTCCAAGGGCGTGTCGGCAGCTTGTGGCAAGGGTTCTTGGGCTGGAAAAGGAAAGGCAAGTGAGTATGTATGTGCAAAAGTGAGTGGAATAGACTCACTCTTACTGTTACATATAACGAAGTATATTCAGATTAAATTGTGATGGGTTTTGACAAATTTGGATGCCTACGTAGCTACAGTCTACTAATGATAAACAGTATTTTTGTTAGCCCAAGAAATCCCTCTACAGTGCTGTCCTATCCCACTTACAAAGTGACTCCCAAATGAATTATTATTATCTCCTGTGTTTCTCCTGACCCCCAAAGCAGCCCTGTCTTTTGGCTGGCCTGTGGGCCACACTGCCAGTTACTGACATGGACTTTTCAGTTCTTCAAGAGAGAATCAGAGGCTGTATTCTCAGGGGCTCCCACAAAATGCCTCTTACTTGGCTTAAGGAAATGAGGGATCATCTTCCTTACATTCCTGGAGGGTAGGACATGGTCTCGGATCAGATCTCACATTCTGGCCACTTACCTCTTTTAAAGATCTCCTCGAACTCAGAGTGACTTACCTCACACAAAATCGGGGTACAGAGAGTCTATGCATGGTGGTGTTTTGGGTCACTGATGCCTAAGCTAAAATCTCTACTTAACATTGAGACATTTAATATCTTATTACACTAACAAGCAAATATCATTCTTAAGCCTACTATCAAGACACCCCAAAGTTAAAAATTAGCCATTAGTTCTTCACACATTTAGGTAGCATTTTGTATTTTTAAATTAAGACTTATATGGATACATACTGCTTTTATAGCCAATTAGACTTTTTGCTTCATAATATATGAGTAGCATTATTTGTGAAATGTTTTCCTGCATTAATAAATAAGTATGAGTGAGTTTGAATATTTCCAGATTAATTTTTATGTGCCACACTTAATCTTTTCTTTACTTTTTAAACTTTTGAGTTGTTTGTAACATTTTAGGGATTGATAATTGCTGAAATTAATATCCTCCTGCATCCATTTTTTATTTGAAAGAGAAAAAAACAATAAAACAGTTTCAAAACAGGTTAGTAGGTGAGTTACAATAATTAATGCATTGCATTTTGTCTTCCTAGTATGAGACAAAGGCATGATATCAGCATAAACCTTTCTTTTCATTGAACTAAGAGAAACTAGTTGTATAACTATCATAACTATCTTGTTAAGATATTTAAAACTTTTTTCCTTTTCCCTTCCCCCATCACAATTTGTCTTTTGCTTTTGAATAGTTTCTTTCCAATCACAATACCTATTGGACATTTTGGATCTAATCTATTCATTCAGTTTCTCACACCAGTGAGACAATTTGATGTTTACACATATGGACCTGATTTATTTAATTTATAAGTGTGGCCTTAAGTTGCATCCATTCACCCATAATAGTCTCCAGTCTATCCTTTTCTGTGGCTGAGTAGTACTCCATTATATATAGTTAAAAAATCACATCTTTCTTTCTGCATCCATTTTGTAGTACAGTATTTCCTTAGAATAAAATTCTAGAATTGGCATTTCTAGACTGTACACATTTAAATGAAAAGCTCTTGGTTTGTGTTGCCTTTTTACCCTCCAGAAAGGCTGTACTAAATCAACTTCCCCCCTGTAGGATATGAGGGCCTTCTAAACTTGCTTATTGGCATTGCAAATCACCATTCTCTTTACTTCTTGCTATTTCAATAAAGGATTCTTAATATATGCTCTGTTTATTAGTACATCTTTGATTGCTCCTGAGGTTGAACTTTTTTTCATGTGTTTCCTGGGTTGCTCCGATGCACTTGTAATGAGCCTACAGATTTACACCCTTCCTCCGGCTTTTTATGTACCTGAAATGGCGTAAGTGGTATTCATGCTTTGGATTTGTAGAATCTTAGTAAAAGAAGGAATTTTAAAGAAATACTTAATCTGAGCTTTGCTCTGATGTTTATCTCTGATGCAAGGAGATTAGGATCACTGCTTTGTGGGTTTCTCTTTCATGGCATACATGGTCACCCACAGACACCATCAAAACTGCTTCATCCTTATCACTACTGTCTGATATCTTGCCCTTTTTCAGGGTCTCAGTGCCTGAGTCCTGGGCCAAATTTACAGATGACAACATTCTGCGCTCCCAGAGTGAACGGGCGACCTCCGCAAAACTAAGAGATGAGATCGAAAACCTTCTGGTGGTGACTGTCAATGAGATGTGGAATCAATTCAACAAAGTGAACTTGGCTTTCACCAATCGTATTGCTGAGTCTGCAGATGCTAAGAATAAGATTCAGGTTCACTTATCAAAGGTAAATCAACCGCAAGGTATGCTGGTGGCAGGGGTAAGGCAGGGTGCTCTGGGACCACAAATCTGTCACCGCTCCCAGAAAGATGCCATAAGGCATGTGACCTCCTGGCTACACAGAGTAAGAAGACTTTACAACAGCACAAAGTATAAATTGATTTCAGCCAAGTAGCTAGGTGTCAAAATGAAATTGGAATCCACTGGTGTTTGGAACACAAAGAATGCACTGTGTAACATAAGGCTCTTAGTATTTCACGGAAACAAATATATTATTATTGAAGTTTAATGAATCACTGTATATAACCAGGAAGAAAATTTATTATTAGAACACATGATAGAAATGTTTTCTGTTCAGTGATTTCACACCCTTTTTCTGGAAGAATTAAATGCCAGAAACTGTTCATAGTTCAAAGTATTTTGGACATTGTAAATTTTTGATTGCTTTAAGTGTAGGGGCTTTACCATGATGATAAAGAATTCATGCAGAATTTATTTTAAGATGAATAAGGAGCCCTTCCTCTAGCTTTAAGCTATTTTTGTAGATTGTGCTGTGTGTAGTTTATTTCTTTCTTTCTTTTTTTTTATACTAGGGATCAAACTCGACCTCATGCTGCCCAGTCAGGGGCTTTGCAGCTAGTTTGTCATTTCTTAAGACCTTTTCTCATTCATTCTTAGTGCTCTAGGGCTGCCCAATGGAGGGTGCCAAGTTCTTCCAGGGAGTAGCAGTTTGCCTTTCCTCACTGCACAGCAAACATTACTTGAGCCAGACAACATGGTACATTACAAAGGGCAAAGAGAAGCATAAAATAACAGCTTTTTGTTCCCAAGAAATTTATATTTGTGAAGAGATGTGCGCATATAAAATGTTCACAAACAATTCCTAACACTAGGAAATTACAAGTTGTAGCTGTCAAATAACAAATGGAGAAAATCTGTACGGGGTTCATCGGGAGACAAAGATTCCAAGTTGAACAAAACTTTGAACAAAGCTTTGGAAGTAGGAAATGGGAGTGGAGATCAAGTCTATGAGGAGTTCAGTGTGGCTGGCATGAATGGTGTGGATCCTAGGAAAGAAACTTTGGTTGGAATCAGATTGTAGAAAACATTAATGAAAAGGTGAATGGGGTCAGGTGGTGTCAATAGATTAGGAGGATGCCATTCTAAAGCTATGTGCGAAGGCTGCTGACAGAGTTTGTGTTTTCTACTAATTGTTATTTACTACTGTGTTAGTTTGCTCAGTCTGCTGTAATATAAAGTTACCACAGAGCAACTGGCTTAAAAAGTAGACGGTGATAGTCTTACAGTCCTGGAGCTTGGAAGTCTGAGCTGAATGTGCTGTGAGGTTGTTTTCTCTGAGGTCACCTTTGATGGTGTCTTCTCTCTCTATCTTTACATTGTCTTATCTTTTTGTATATCTTATCCAAATTTCCTCTGATTATAAGGACATACTTCTTATTGGATTAGAATGTACTCTAATGATTTCACTTTAATACCTTTGTAGAAACTCTGTGTCCTAATATGTTCACACTCTGAGGTACCTGGGGTTAGGTCTTCAACATAGGAATTTTGATGGAAGGGGCACACAATCTAGCCTGTAAGTACATTCATGTTACTGTGCCAGACACTTTGGGTATACACACATGAATGTTACGTCTTAGAGTGAGGCAACATATGAATTCTGGAAATGGTAAGCTCATTGAGACTGTGCAGGAGAACCACTTGGACCTGCAGATAAAATGTTAAGACTGTTTAGCAGAAAGAGTAGTGTTTCTACTGGTGAATGCAGACATGGCTTCACAGAGTGCATAGTTTCTGAAGAAGACCTTGGTGATGAAAAGAGCTTCTATCGAGTTGATGAAAGCTGGGGAGAGAGGCCAAAGATTAAGTGGCAAATTTAGGAGTTCCTGGATTATACAAGTGCTAAATGTGTGTAATTATGTAGGAGAGAGAGAATGCAGCAGAGAAGTTGCCCAGGACAGTTTGCTTTGGTGATGGATGAATGGTTAGAAAGGCCAGGAGTTAGGACATCAATCGGCCAGAGAGAAAACATAAGGCAGGGCTCCAAGGAGAAGGTGATATCCAAGAGGTCTCAGTATAGACCTTGAGAGGCAGTTTCATAGGGTTAATGGGGACCAGAGACTGAGTTCAGGGGCCACCAGGAGTTAGATATGTAAGAAATAGAGGGAATGGGCACAGGCCAATCTACTTCAGCAGTGATTTTCGGTAGAGAGGTTGGAGAGGAACCACTTGGAACTGGACAGGAGAATGATGGTAAACAGTTGAGGTGATTCTCATGTGTGTCTCTAGACTGCTAAAGAAACCAAGGGGGAGGGACAGTGGTGGAAGGATGTGGAACTACAGGAGAGCAGAGGCCAAGGTCCCAGCAGAAGGGCAAGTGTTCAGAGAGCTGGAGAAAGAGGAGGAAGGGAAGGAGGAGGAATCAGGAAGTGTATGCAATTTGGGGCACCCTCTTTAAGAAACAAAGAATATAAAGTCAGAAGCACAAGTCTACCAGTATTTCCTCCCCTGCAAATGAGACGTGCAAGAGCCTAACCTGATGAGCTCCAAATCTTTTGTTAGGAGGACAACATCTCTCTTAAACATCTGTCCTTAATTGGCTGTATATACAGAGGCAAGGCTGTCTTGGTGTGACAAGGGAGATTAGGACTTTATGGCCTCACTTTCCTCCAATACACGCCGATGTGCCCTGGTCAATAACTAACAACAGGTGTTGGGGTCGGTGGGGACCAGAAACCATGAATTTTAGCAGTTTTCAACTTTTGTGGTATATCTACTCCAACCTTGGTTGCTTTCAGGTCACCAGCATGAAATCACTGGACCTAAGGATTGGGAAGAGAAACACAATGGGTTCTTCAGAGCAGGTTCTAGCAGAATTCAGTACAGTGTTTTAGATTCCCTGGGCTCAGAACTAGGAAGGAGCTAGTTCTCCTGAATCAACTTCCTGCTCCCAGAGGGTGAAGCAAGTGGACAGGATGAAGACAGGGAGTAGGTTGTATGAAGGACAGCATCGGACTCCAGGCAATTGCTTCTCTTTGTCACAGACTCTACAGGAGATATTCCAGACAGAAAAGAGCATAGAATCCATCAAGAAGGCCATCAAGGAGAAGTCCGCCTTCCTGAAGGTGGCTCAGACCAGGCTGGATGAGCGCACACGGAGACCTAACATAGAGCTATGCAGAGACATGGCACAACTTCGGTAAGACGGGGCAGAGGGGAGGCAGATGCACGCTGGTGTGACCCTGTCCCCCCAGCCTGACTACAGCTCTGGCTCCAGATAACAGTGCTTTCTGACCACTGCTCACGCAGGAGCCTTCTCATTCCAATGCTGTTCCCAGGCAGTGGATTTCCCAGCGGGGAAACTCATGATGGGAGTTGTTGACGTGACTCTCCCTTTGGGATGGTAGAGAAGTTTGGAGATAGTTGTTGGTGGTGGCTGCAGAGCAGTGTGTGTGTGCCCAGTGCCTCTGGACTAGTCACATAAGATGATTCAGATGGTAAAATTTCTACTGTGTGTATTTCACTACACAGTTTTTTGGAAGAGGAAATGACATGATGTTAGTAAACAAACATTTTGCTCATACAGAACATTCAAAGAGTGTTTGGATTGCTCCATACTTCCCTGGAGTCTTTGGAGTTTCCAAGACAGCTCTCTCGTGAGCAGCAGAAGCTGATGGCTGTGTGTTTCTCATTATGGTGGGGACTTGTTGGAAAAGGAACTTTGAGGACCACTTTCTCCAACTCCTCTGTTCCCATTTGTTCTGCATGGCCTCTGTTGGCTTTTTGCATCTGCCCAGGCCATAGACACCATCCACAGAGACCTCTGCCATCCCTGTAGGTCTTATTAGGCTCATTTTAGTGCATTCTGTTCTCATTAGAAATAAAAACGTCTGCTTCTCATCTGGCCTGGCCCCTACATACACATAACAAGAGGAATCTGATTCCATGGTTCATCTTCTAAATACTGTATTAATTTTATTATTATTTAACCTTGCCAGTTTCCTCTTAGAATGGATCTAATTTCCTAGATTAGTTGAATTTCTTCTAGTGGAGCTGTTGACTCCCTAGTCCTATGCCATGGCCTCCCAGGAAGCTCACCCACGCTGCAGGTTTCTCAAAGTAGGTTCCATTGGGCCTCTCTTCCCACCTAGCCCGTTACTTGAAATAAACTGCTGTCCATTCCAGAGACCAGACAGGCCCTGTACAGCCAGCCTGAAGCATTTCTGTGCTTTGGAAGAACCTACTAATAAGGGCGTATCCACTGGGCCAATTAGAATTAGAACACAAATTATGGTTTATGGAGACATGATTAGAAGAAGCTGAATTGAAGTTTCATTTCCTAAAACATTTCTGTGGAGTCATTAAAAGTAAGGATAGAAATAAAATCCTTTAGACTGCCATTAGACAGACACAGAGCTGTCTTTTTATTTTTTCTTTGGTTTCTTTCTTCTCTCTCTCTCTCTCTCTCTCTCTCTCTCTCTCTCTCTCTCTCTCTTTCTTTCTTTCTTTCTCTTCATTACTGAGGATTGAGCCCAGAGCTTGTGCATTCTAGGCAAGTGCTTTACCACTGAGTTTTAACCCAGATAGAAAAAGGTTTTGGGTAGTGGCACAATATAATTTTGGAGTTATCAAATAATGAATGAGGCATTCACAGCTTTCTCTGAGAGGATGAATGATTTTTTACTCCCCCACCACCTTTCCTGCTAAATAGAATTTGCCTTTTTCTTCCTGTTGGCTTTCTATTTCCTCTGTTCCTTCATTGACTTTAGGTGAAAACCTATTTGTGTGTCTGTCAGGATTTCTTGTTAGGAAAATTCTTGCTGAAGATATTTAGGATTATTATTGGGGGAGATTATTTTCCTTCTTCAATTGATCATGCTGAAAGCAACCTTTTGGCTGTCCAGATTAAAGAAAAGCAAAGGTTATAAACTCAAGAGTGTGGACAGAGAAAAATTGCTGTTTTCATTTCAAGATTTTTATTTTCACTTAAAATATTCTAAAGGAGTTCTTTCAAAAATGATTCTAAATCTTCTTGACATCCTTGGTGGTAAGCCAGGCCAGGCTCTGCTTTACTTAAATAATCTTGATATATTTTTTTAAAAGGTCGTGACAGTTTTACTTGTGTTTAAATGCAAAATTAATTCCAGGACTGTACTTTTTTTTTTTTTAAATGGAGTAGTAGTTCCCTCTTGTCAGCCAAGCACACAAAATATAGAGTGAAATGTGACCTTGAAGATGATGCCAAATGTATTCCTAAGAGCTGACTTTGAGGGGGATGGTGGTGCTGCCTTGACTGTGTTTCTCTCATACATCAGTGGGACAATAAGTACTTTGCTATGTATCTTAAATTCTCATATCTAAACATTGATATTTTAATGTGTATGCTTTGAAACAGCCTCTCACAGGTAAATTTTCCACTGGCCTAGCATTGGGCTGCAAGGAGTGGGGCTCATATATTACCCTGTTGTGCTTCCTATGTTTGGGTTCAGGGTTCCTTTTGAAGTGAAGGAGGGAAGGAGACCAGAGTCAGCCCCTGGAGGATGGTAGCCTTCAGTTATGAAGCCCATTCCCAGCCATTTGTAACATCCTCCCTGAAGTGCTGATGATATTTTAGACCCTGGGATTTTTTGGTAAAAAAACACTTTTTAATTTACCTTTTCCTAAACGACAAAAAATATGCTTTGACACGAGTTCTCAGATTTTGTGTTTATCATCCCCCAGACCCACTGAGACTTGCTCACTTAAGTTTTAATTCCCACTCCCATTATGTGTATACTTGGAATTTTGGGAAACTTACCACCCAAGATGACCTCTTTCACCTAAGATGGAGAAGTTTGTGTTCTTACAATAAATAATTTTTTGAAAACCCAAGAGCTATAGGAGGGACTGCAGGACACTTCAGACAGCAGGGCACCTAAATTGGTCTCTGCTTGGTGGTGTTGATAGTCTTCAGGGCAGATGGGCTAAGAAGACTATCGCAAGTGTCTGAGGACCACAAAGGGTTGGTCTTCTTGGAAAACCCAGTATCAGCATCAGCCTAGTTGCAGGGACCACAGGTGTCCTGTTCCTGGGACTGGAGGATGGCATTCATTAGGGGCATGAAGAGTGGGCTAGGGTGATCCTGGCTGAGAAGACAGCAAGGAAGAAGGCTTTGAGGCCAGAGAGGATGCAAACACCTATCCTCAGGGACAGCTTTGTGAGCATTGACTGGGGAACATAGGAGGCATGGAAGGCCAATTGGAAAGTGGGAATAGCTGAGGAATACTGGGTACATGAAGGAGGTGGGCAAGTCATTGATGATCAGGGGTTTCTGGTTTCAACATCCACAAGGATGTTGTCAGCACCACCATCCAAAATAGGGCACACACGAGAGATCTGGAGTGCTGAGGTAGCATCTGCTTCATACACTGCCTCTGCCAGCCTAGAGCCATTGGCCAGCTGACTGGTGTGTGTGTGAGAGGGTGAGCCTGGACGGTGGAGTGGCTTGGGGAATTTCCATACTGTCTCCACTTGAGTGCTATGTTCTCTCAGTGACATGTGGAGATGCTTACTGCAGTGCGAGCCCCTTCACATAACCTCTCTAAGAGACTGGAGAAAGTTAAATGCCTTCAAATTATGCTTCCTGCATATCTAGGGATATTAGTTCCAGATCCTCAGCCACCTACAGATACCAAATTGTCAGATGCTCAAGTCCCTTCTATAAAATGGGACAGTATTTGCCTATAACCTGTATGCATCCTCCTGTATATATTAAATTATCTCTAGATCACTTATATGGCCAAATATAATGTAAATGTCATGCAAATAGTTTAGGGAACAGTAGTGAGAAAGAATAGGATGTGTAAAGGCTCAAAGTCATTAAAAAATATTTTCCACCCAAGTTTGGTTGAATCCCCAGGTGCAGAATGTACAGATTGAGAAGGTAGCCTATGTGTTAATTTTTAAAAAGATATTTTACATAACATACAGTAGTGTATGTTCATGGTGATGGTGGAAAACCCAGAAAGCACAGAAAATCAAACAAAAACAGAAGCTCGATTGCTCAGGGCATCCAGGGATAACCCATTGTAACATTTTGTTGTATTTGGTGCCAGGAATATTAATAAAAAGTGATCACACTGCATAGAAAGTCTTAAAGACTGATTTTTCAACCAGAATTACATTGCATATTATTTTCCCAGGACCAGTATACATTCTTTTTTGGAAATACTGCTTGTGCAGTATTCTATCATCTGTTTATGGTGCCTGTTACCAACAGACATTAATGTTGATTCCTTATCTTCTCTCACACTACTGCTTACTAAAATAGGAAGAAATAAATGATTCCTTTATAATTTTATATCAAACTTTGCATCTTATTTTTCTAAAAGTAGTTTTTAATTTCACAAGTAAGATAGGAATACGCCCAGTTATAAAATAAATTCAAGTAACACAGATCCACTGGAGTTCAGAACGAGTCCCTTTTCTGCCCCTCTGGCTCCCACCGAGACAACAGCTCATGGTTTGTTTCATGCCCTTAGAAATGTTCACAAAGTGCCTGTTAGGCAAAGTGGGATATAAGAGCCTTTGAGTGGAATTCTTACGCTGAGTATTATCTCAATATTCTGTGAGAGCCCACTTTGTGTCTTACACTGAACTTGCCTCTATGCTACAGTTGCCAGATCTTGTAAATTAAATCATCAGACAGCTTATTATATTTGAATTTTAAATAACCAGTGAGTATTTTTTTTGCATATTGCATGAAATTCTTATACTAAAAATACTCAATGCCAAGTAAAAATATTTATACCTTCAGCAATAAAGGAGAACTGTGTGCTTCAGCACAGATGAACCTGGAGAAAACACTGTGCTTGGTGAAGTAAACCAATCACTAAACAATAAGTACTCTATTACTCCACCTATCTGGACTAGTTAAATTCATAGAAGTGGGAAAATTGAATGCTGACTACCAAGGTCTTGGGGGAGGAGGAATCGAAACTGAGTTTCAGTTTTGCATGGATGGCAGTGACAGCTGCAGAACCCTGTGAATACACCTCACGCCACTGAATTGCATATTTAAATGGTTAACATGGTGAGTTTGATGTTATGTATATTTTACTCCAATCTAAAAAATACTTGTGCTAAAAAATTAATCATTTATCTGAAATTTAAATTCAGCTGGGCATCTTGTGTATTGTCCCTGGGTGACCCCCAGAAGAATCCAGTGTCCTGAGGCTGATTTCCTTGGTCTCGCTTCTGTCCTTTTATCCTAAGGGGCTGAGGGGTGGGGCCAGGAAATAGAACCCATTACTTAGTGTTACTAGGAGGCTCCCGGCTTCCTCCTCCGCTTCCTGGAGAACCTGGCACGATTTAGAAACACAATCGGCTTGTCCGCCTGTGAGAAATTCTGTGGACTCAGTTTCCTCATCTGTAAAACAAGGAAACTGGGCCTGATGACCTCTGACATTTCTATTTCAGTTGCAAAGTTCTGTGGGGCTATATAGTTGCCTTTGCATAGTGATTTTAATAGGAATAATGCTTAGCGTTATGAATTTTTTCTATCTCAAATGATGTTTATAGCCCCATTTGTTTATAGCTATTATTCCCTTTACTTTTCTGCATATTTTATCGAATGCCACATTCCCATAATCTGCTGATGAGTAAACTCCCTAAATAAAGACAATTTTAGCTTCACATTATTGGTTGAAATTTGAAATATATCTGTTCCTCAGTATCCATGGGGGTTCAGTTCCTGTTTTCCCCTTATATGCTAAAACCCACAGATGTTCAATTCTTTTGTATAGAATGGTGTAGTACTTTTTAGTGTCCATATCTTCCCATATACTACAGGTCATGGTTAGGGAACTTGTAATATCTTATGTAGTGTAAATAGTCATAATATATTGTTTGGGGAATCACGGCAAGAGGAAAATTCTATTAGGTGTTTAGTACAAATTCAGTTTATCTCCCCAGATATTTTTGACCTAGGATTGATTGAATCCAAAGGATGCAGAAGTATAAGTATGAAGGTTTGACTGTACTTAGAGCTTTGCTTCAATTGACCAGAGTCAGAGAAATAGTAATTAAAAGCAGCTGATAGGTAGCTCCACGCAAAACCATTAAGAGAGTTATCTAAACTCTCAGAACCTCAGTTTCCTCATTTGTAAAATGGAGATACTCATAGTATCTACTTCCCGGTGTTGTTACAAAGATTGAATTGCTTGATTATGTAAAACACTTAGGACAGTAAAGTAATAAATAAGTTATTATTATTATTGTCTTTTCAGAGCTTATTTCTATTGTTAAGTACTCCAAAAATAAACTTAGTTTGCTTTTTGGATTATGTACTGTGGTGTGTAGTTAGTAACAGTGGCCCTGGCATATCAGGATCATGTACAAATACTGCTTTCTTTTCTGTATGAAGCATTTTTAACATTGGTGGAACCCATCTGTTGCTGGGAGTTCCATATATCATGCAACCCAGCAGCTATTTCTCCAATAGGAATATGGTAACTGTCTATGCCCTTAATTCAGCCAAAAACACACTATTAGGAGTGTGATGTCTGCCAACCTAACCTTGTTTATTCCCTCTGGCAGCCTTGTTAATGAGGTCTATGAGGTTGATGACACCATACAGACCTTGCAGCAACGCCTGAGGGATGCCGAGGACACCCTGCAGTCCCTGGTGCACAACAAAGCCACCCTGGAGCATGACCTGGCTGTCAAAGCCAATTCCCTGTACATCGACCAAGAAAAATGCATGGGAATGCGCAAGACCTTCCCCACCACCCTGCGGCTGGTTGGTTTCTGTTAGAGACCCCAGCAAAAGAAGGAGTTTTGGTGTTCCTAAATGAAGGAAAACCAGGCTTGGCCTCGCAGCTAACTGAATGCTAATAAATTTACATATTAAAGAACTTTTATCAGTATAAATACACCAGTCTTTTGTCTCTGAAAGCCTTTTGTTTGTCTAAACCTTAGTTATTTGCTATCTACTAGGCTTCAAGATAATGGGAAGGATTTAAAGAAATAGAACCAATCTAAAAGAACACAAATAAGATGACTTGTGTGGTTCTTATTGTTCTATGTGAGACCCAAATGGATTGCACCAGAAGATATTATCCCCAAGATGGTGGGATCAGGAATCACAAAGGACCATGAGCTAAAGACCTGATCTTTACAGCCTAAGAGTTAGGTGACTGGGCCCATGCTGGTGAAGGTGACTGTGGGATCCTAGTCTCTTTTTCTCTTTTCAGTTTCCTGGCCATAAGATAAGCAGTTTGCTCTGCAACATCCTCATCACCTTTGCCCTCCAGTCACAGACCCAAAATGATGGGTGTGCCATTCATGTCTTAGAATAGCCAAAACCATGAGAAAATAAACCTTTTTTCTTTATAAGTTAGTTATCTCAGGTATTTTGTTACAGTGATGGGAAGCTGACTAGTGCAGAAAAATGGTGCATTTTGAGCTATTCCTTAAAAGATACACAGAAAAAATAGGACAGACTTCTGGGTATGGGGTAGTTGGGATAGTTCGAAGGGAAGAAAAGTTAGAAAAATATAGAAAAAGATTGAGAAGATTTAGAAGATAAAGAATAGATGAAGAAAGAAAGTGAGACATCTGGAGGAGAACGGTATGGAAGGTTTTCAACTCCAGGTTCAAGGGTTCTGGGAGCTGCTGGGTGTCTCAGAGCAGGGAAATGTCTTTATAAAAGCAGTGGCTGAGCAATGCATATTTAAGTTTGGAGAGGTGTCAGTGGAAGCAAAGGCATGCAGAACACAGTATAACAAGTCAGGAGGACTTGGTGAGACTCTCTGCCTCTCGGTGAAAACAGGGACTGATGTTAGATGAGATGGAAAAGCAAGCACTGCTTAATTCTAGGGTGTCCTATGTTAAAGTTTTTTCTTCCTTTTTTTTTAGTAACTGTCGCTATGGTTTGAGTGTATCCCTAGAAGCTATCTGTTGGAGACTTAATCCCCAAAGTCATATGTTAATGATATTTAGATGTGAGGTTTCTTGGAAGGTGATTGGGTCCTGAGGGATCTACCCTCACAGATTAATGCTCACAGATTAATGGATTAACAGGTACTCCAGGAAGTAGCTTTTCTATAAAAGCAAATTCTCTGTGGCTTGCTTGCTCTGTCTTTCCATGGATGCCCTTTGCCATGGTACAACACAGCAAGGAGGGCTGTGCCAGGAGCTGAGCAGAGCCTAGCACCATGTTCTTGGGCATCCAGAACCACGAGACAAATACACCTCTAAATTAGCCCATCTGTGGTATTTGACAATAGCAATAGAAAACAGACTGAGACAACTGTTTTATTATAAATGAAAATCTCTTGTATAACATACATTTTGGAAAACAGAAAAACACAAAGAAACATATACCATATCTCTTGAAAATTTCTGAAATCATTATCACAGCACCCAGAAATAGTTAATTAAGTTTGTTAATATTTTGTTTATTCTTTCAGTTCTTTTGTCATGGAACTCTCTCAACATATCTGTGTCTGTATCTCTGTCTCTATCTCTGTCTCTGTCTCTGTATCTCTATCTAATTATATATTAGGCAACAGGTAATGTTTCGATTTATCTCCATAGATAAATAGTATATGATATTTATACTTAAATGCGTAGTGATATATTTGAGTCCATATTGATGAATTTTGTTTGTGGCAATTTCTGAAAATATGGACAAAAGAAAATAAAAAGCTGTATTTCTAAAGCAGTTATTTTGTTATTAATAGACTTTATTTTATTTCTGTATTTATGTACACATTCTTCGGTCAAAAATAGAATCATACCAAATAAAGTAGCTGGCACCTTTATGCAAATGTTTGCTTAAATATGCAAATATTTACATTATTATGGGTCAGACATACTTTTCAGTGCCTTTTTCACAACTCATTTATGCTTTGCACAATACTCCTTCTTTGTCATTAAATATAGCAGATTCATCTTAGCAGCTTTTCAATACTGTGTTAAATTGGGGTTTCAGAATTTTCTGTAACTAATTCCATATGATTGGGTATTTGGATTGTTGGATCGTCCCTGGCATAAAAAATGTAGTTGTGATCTAATCTTAGCTAAATATAAATGTCTTTCATATCGTCCTTGGGACAAATTCATAGATAAAGAATCATTAGATAAAAAATTAGGAATATTTTTAAAAAGATTCTTGCAATGTGTTGTTAAATTGCCCTCTCCCTACTCCATTCCACAAGCATGTCTGAGTGGACTTCTCTTTCTGCATGTTTGATAACCTAACCTTATTATTCACAATACAAAGTCTATGTCTTACTGTCTATTTCTTGGGGCCCACTGATGTAAAACCTTTTTCATTTCCACTTGGTATGTGCTATTTCTTGTTCTGGGAACTTCCAGTTCTATTATTTGCCTTTTGAGTATTAATCTTTTTCAACTTATGTTTTCAAGTGTTCTCCTATGTGTTAACTATAGGATATTTTGTCGTAAATATTTACAGAATGTATATATTTAAATGTTGCTTGCTTTTATATCATTTTTTTAAAATAAGAAAGTAAAAATATGTGTTTGTGTATGATTTTTACCTTTGTGGTTATGCTCAGAAAACATTCCTTCATCCTAAGACTACTGATTTTGTATGATTTGTTAAAGCATTACACATCCATGTTGAGATTATGTAGATAGTGTGCTAGCTTTGAATCCTTTTGTCCTAGAAGTTATGAAGTGAGAAAAATGGATAGGAAGGAAAGGGTTTTCACTCTTTCTCCTTGTATTTCTCATGACTATTATTGTCTATTAATCCCTATTTCTTCCTCTTCCTCCTCCTCCTTCCCTCCTGTGTCTCTCTCTCTCCTCATATCCCCACCCACATTTCTTAGATGTTTTAAGATCTTGGTTGGTTAACTTCACAAAACATTTTAAAATACCAGAAGGATTGACGTACAGATGATAAACTTGAGTCAGGGTTATTTGTTCAGGTTCAGTATATCGTTTTAGAAATCAAATTGTAGGTTTTGTCCTTCTCCTTTTGCTTCTAATGGAAGCAAAGATACATGACTGCCACTAAAATATGTAGCAATTAGAGTACTCAAATATCGATCCCATAATTTTATGGTTTTAAAGCATATAATTTCTATATTCCTCTTATTTGCTATGGAATTGGGGAAAATCTTTACAGTCTTTTCCCTGAATTTTCCTTTTAATTTTTTTTTTGAGGAATACATGCTTATATCGTCTTTTTACTTAAGTCTATATTCCTGGCATTACAAGACTGTGATGGGAATAAAATGTAGTTCAGACATAGAAAAAGTCTAGTTTTCTTGTTATTTTGGTAAACTGTGGGCAAGGCTAAATTCTGCAAATAAACATTTGGTTTCTAGTCTGAAACACGGCAGCTACCTCATGCGGGCAAATCCTCTCGCAAGTAGCCAAGACTCAGAGAGTGTGACCATATCAAAGAGTCTCAAGGCTATGAATATCGGCACATGATATGGCCTTATCTATTGAGGCCCAAACTATCTTTAATATTATGTGGCTTTAGAAAGGGTACTGGAATGTCAAAGGCTTCCACTTGCCCATGCATCAGATTTAGAAATGTGGTAATTGCCCCTAAATAGCCAAGCCACCTATAATTTTAGTAATTTCCATTTATGTCTCTGGAGAGTGTTGTCATAAACACCTCTCACCTGGTACTTTTGCTCCTGAGTTCATGTTATAAATAGCTGAACTGTGGGGTCTGGTTTTAGGTTATAATTTTTGTTTTGCACCGAGGACAGGAATGATCCCTTCTCTTTGTATATGAACTGACCATAGAGCACATGGCTACTGCTCATTCTTGTGCCCTGAAACTTCTCTTCAAAATTTCCCACTCCAATCATGGCTCTTAAGTATCTCCAGAAGGGCTGTATGAACCATTGGGTCCCATGGCCAAGATCAGCCTTCTATGCAGAGGGCTCTGGTCGTAGTTTTTCTGAACTTTATATCTATTGAGATACCTGGCAATTATCCATGCATGCATGAGGAAGACAGACTATCTAATTTTTTCTCCAGGGATAGGAAATTGATTTTACCTTGGAGGTCAGCCCTGGTCCTCTGGGAATACTAATTTGGAATGCTGAGTTGAGAGGCTCCCGTGGCCACCTGTGAATTCAGCTCCTAAGAATCTAGAAGTCCTAGGAGCCCAAGGTGGAGAAATGTCAGTACACATATGTCATCCTGCTCTCTGGACAGTTTTAAATTCTTCCTTAGCTAAGATACTTGTCATGCAACATGAAGGGAGACTACTGTTTTGTGACCTTTGGCTAATTCTCCTGGAAACTTACTATTTCTAATTTTGCTGGGAGCTAACAGGAGACCATGCCATCTTCATAATTTTTCCTTTCAGAAAGGAAAAATCTCTGAGGACATTATCCTGACCCGAGGAAGCAATTCAGATCACATTGTGGTAGAGATGGAGCCTGTGGGGACAAGGTGTCTGCTATTCTTGGTGATCTCCCCTGGGGATGAACAGTGTATAGGAACCGTAAAAATAACTTTCATTTCTGAACCATTTCCTTTTCTCTCTATGAAGTAAAGGCTAACTTTATGGCAAAGTGATATCTTTGGACTAGGTTTCAAAGTTTTATTTTTTTGGCATTTTAGCCCCCAGTCACTTATACATAAGGACACCTTCTCTTCATCTACAAAAATGAAGAATTGACAGTTTGCAAGAGTTGCTTGATGAAATGTCCAAGGTTTCTATTTCTCTAAGGTAGATGTAGTAGTTGTTGGCTGTGCTCAACAAGAAAAAGCCTCCCGTTTCCATATAACCATGCCCTCATAAATATTCCCTTCTTTGACAGTGATCCAACTCTGTGGTCGCTTAAATCAGGAGAATACAATGGGAGTAATACTAGGCAGCTCCCAATGGAAGTCTTTTGAGGGTTGGTAGCTTCTGCTTTTGTGTTTTTGGAAACAGATGGCCAGGTAAGAAGTCTGAGGTCAGCTTGCTGTGAGGAGGTCCAAAGCATGGAGAGGCTCACATGGAGAAAAACTGAGTTCCCAGCCAACAGCCTTACGTGAGATCTCAGCCTGTGTCAGGACCAACAGATAGGATGTGTGATCGTGTGGGATCTTCCTGCTTTCAGGAGCTCTGTGGCCACCACGTGACACCAAAGAATTGATTGGGAGCTTGTTATTCACAGAGGCAAATTCAAACCTCATACTTTTCCTTCTTCTAAAATAATTCAGTTCTGCATGCAGGCTTCCAT